GAGTTGGCCACACGCTCCGACGGCAAATGGTACACCATGCAAGTGGCTAAAGAGATGAGAAATATTAGGATGAGTTTAGGAGCATGGGAAGGGAGATTATCCCGGACGAGCCCTCATTTGTAGGAACCGACGGAAAAGTTTTTAAGGACCCAACGGGAATCGACGAACCCGAGACCTTTGACTTAGCAAGCCGAGGCTTTGCGCACTACGCCAACTACTCCCTTCCTATTCTCCCTTGTCGGTTTCCTATTTGGGTCCGGAGGCCCCGATACTACACATATATCGGAGAGAAGTTGCACGTATGGCCAACATTTAAAATGTAATGTGAATTCGCGTTTTCTTTCTCGTTAATATCACAATATCGTTACCAATCGATACCTAAATTTATTACTATTTCTCGTTTCTTATTCAATTATAATATATCAAAATCAGATTGAAAAATTTGAAAACGCACACGTGCGTGATTATAAATAAATATGTGTGTGTGTGATTACAAATAAATAAAGAGGGGAATATGATTGTATCCGGGAAAATTCCGATACAGAAAGGAGAAAACCGTATTGAACGAAATTGCCTTAGATATCCACTGGTAATTTTAAAACTAAAAACTATATAAATGTATATGTATATACACATATACATCATATCTACATATGTATTACTACTACTACTACAACTACAACTACAACTACAACTACTACTACTACACTACTACTACTACTACTACTACTACTACTACTACTACTACTACTACTCTTGCTACTAAAAACAACGAAACTATTTTTAAATTTCAGTGCACTGTTACGTGTTATCGCAGAGAAACTACTGTTAACAAGTCTTACAAACAAAATACTTCTTCGTTGAACGAAGATACAAATTCTTTCTCTTGCGAGAGATGTCTCCTTACGCGAGTCTAGAAGTCTGTATCGTTGTCATCAAGTTTTTAAAAATGAATTCGCGCAACACAATGCAATCCGAGATAATATTGCGGTGACTGCTAAATTATTTATTACATGATTGAAATCACCCTAAATTGCAACGTTGATTAGATATGTTTTACATTTTACGGCGAGCAACAACATTGAAATCCATGCTGTTTCTTATCGTGTACAAGATCTAGAAATCGCGTAAAGAAACTTTTCGGCCTTAACGGTACTGAAATTTGTTTTCCATGTTACTATCACAATTGTCAAAACGCGCATAGATTAGATTCGTCTCTCTAAAGGGATTAAAATATTACCGACTAAAACCACAGCCAATTCGTGCTATTTTTCTCGAGCAATCATAGGTCGGCAAAACGCAAAATATCCATTCACTTTGCGTTTTCACAACAAGACATTGCTGCCATTTTCTTCTTTTGAAATCGCAATCATCCCTGATATTCATACATATCTATATTTTTCAGAAAATCCAGACACTCTCTCTCCGTTCAATTCTCATTTCTCTTCCTTTTATCATCCTATACTTCCGTTCCATATCGTTGAACAATGTTGAGCTGAATAATCGAAGCGAAATATACGCGCGCATCGAAAAAATCGATCTGCTTATTTTGCGTGAAAAGTAATAAAGAACATATTGCGTCAGGGGCCTGTGTAAAATCAGTAGAGCTTGGAATAATCGCGTTTACCGAGAAAATTCACCAACAACTGCCGGACGTTGAAATTGTTCACTGCGTTTGCTGATACGATCTGTACAATTTCTTTTTTTCCAAAGTGAAGTCCCTACTGATCATAATGGTACCTCCTCGTGTAAGATTTCTGAAAGCGGAAAAGAATAGATTTTACACTCTTGTTTGCGGATCGGTCCGTGTTACTTGTTGCTACAAGTTCACTTACTTTAAGAACTGAGGTAATAGGATGTGCCAAGACGTGTGATCTTGCTTCAAAGTCAAATAAAGTTCAAAGGTGGATACTGCGTTTGGATCGCACTGTATTTTAGATAATTTTCGGCACACACTGTCTGTTTCAAAGCTAATGAACAGGGTGCAACCTCTGTAATAAACATGCAGAACGCATTATTATACTCGATAATATATTTTACATAGATGTACATATGTATATTGAAGGAAGTAACAGGAGGAGGGCGAAAACAAGATAGAAGGACAAAGGGTTACTGACTACATCTTACCTGAGACCACATGGTTCATTCTCAGCCATGCTAAGAACATTTTTTGCTATTCTAGGCAACAGATCGGCAGGTAGCAAAACTTCCTCGCACGCTAATTGAGCGTGCTTCGCCCTTCTCAATTCAACTTCCAGTCGTTTCGCTAGAGCTTGACAAGCTCCGTCAAATTCTTCGGCCACAGTTCCAGCTATCGTTGAAAAACCAAACAAAAGAATAATCTGTTAATTACAATTATCCTTTCTGAATACGATCTAGCGACACGTCCAATAACTTGCGTCCTACGTGCTTCTACGCACGAATTTCGTCATCTACACATATTATATACGTTTACCAATAAGCGCACACACGCACACACTATCATGCATTTCACCGGCCGGCTATACCGGCAACCGAGTTATTTCGGAAGCTTGAAAAGCAACCAATCTTCGTTTCATAGTCTATATTACCCTATAATATTTAGTTATTAAATATCTCTCTCTCTCTCTCTCTTCAACACTTAGTTTTTTCACGAAACAAAAAGTAAGGGGAGAAGATAACTGCAAATCACAAATTACGTTCTTTCCAGTTTTATGAACAGATGTATGTTTCGAGTGTGATACGAATGGATGCATATTTCGAAAGTCAGTAATATTAGTAATAATGGATGAAACAAAATTATAATAATCATTGGAAATACACCATACAAAATGGATTTTTGCGAGAATAATCGTGAATTCTATGAAAGCTATTTAGTAAGTAACCACGAGTTACAGTGAAAAGCGATATTTGCTTATTCTGCGACAAGTCGTGGCTGATATTAAATGATCGATCGCCGTTCCTTAAATGTATGTGCGAGGGGCACGTTACATATGAAACACACAACCGGAAAGATCGAAAAGGATTAAAAATCAAACAACAAGAAAATCGGTCGTGCCTGGATTAGCTCGAAGAGGGCTATATCAAAAAGAATAAAACCTAGAAAAATGTGTACCTCTTGTATTGCTAAAGTCCACATTCACAGGGCATGGTAAAACCTCCATATTCGAAAGACGTTACACGTACGCACGCACAAAGGCACGACACGTCTAATGTCACAACGACCTTCTTGAAATACAACACCCGCCGAACTATTTCTTTCCCGATATATTTTTTAGAGATATCTTCTATATTATGATCTTGATCGAATAAATCTCTTAAATCCAGCAAAATCACTCTTTTCAATAGCGTAAACACGAACAGCAACAGTCCTTTCTCTTCGACTTTCACTCCCAGCTGTAACACTGAATCGTTAGAAACAGCACCACACACACCACACTTTTTTCGTTCAACACAACTGATTTGCCAGGCAACGATGACGCGCTTTTATAGCAATACTCCCCTCCTCCTTGATTTTTCCCTTCCCCCGTTCTTTAACAAACCGCCTAGCAACACCGGCTACGTGATGTTTCGCACTGCAGCCACTTCGGCTGTTTCCGTTCTTGTCGTTCGGTTATCTTCGGTACTTAATACTGCTTTCCTTCGCTATCATCACCGATCAACTAAACGACTGAAACAGCCCATCTCAACTTAATCGTAGCCTACCGGTATTCTCAACGTTACTGTGTTCTTTTCATCTTTTTATTTCTTTTATTCGCTTCAATCCACCTCTTCTCTCTTCGTGATCACTTTTTCTCACGTCGATTCTAATTTTTTGTCTTGTATGGTCCTCGCCACTTTTTCGTAACTTGATTCATTGTGGTTTGAACACTTCGAATTTTCCGATACTATTTTATACTTGTACTTTAATTGCGATGCGTATGCCAAACACTTGATGAATTTATATTCCCTCAGGCCCGTCTTTACGCTCAGGCCCGATTATTCTTGCAAAAGTAACCGACTAATAACTACGAAAAACAGTAATTCAACATGTGTGTATGTACATTCATACATAAGTACATAATATATAAAATATAAATGCATCCTTATTTCGACCGACTTTTTCGAACCGTTCGACTCTTCATTACCTCTATTTGTTTTATCATTGTCATTGTTAAGTCACTGGACAATATTTTTCACTTTCTTTATCTTATCTTTCGTTTCGTTCGATTTCTAAACTACCGAATCACCGATATTATTTTTTCTTTATTCTTTCTTTACGTCTTTAATGCATTCTTTTTACAGAGCATTCCACGTCTATGAGCAAAGCTTTGGTGCTTGTAAACGATAAGCGTAACACTAATTCAACTGGCTTGCAAGCGGCAGGATAGTTCGTTAAAAAGTGAGATTCTAGATTCTTCATTCTTCGTGGATACATGCAGACGCAGCACACGATACCAGCGTACTTTTCGGAATTCTGTGAACTGTGCATTCTTATAATTACACGTAATTACTTGTGTAAATAGAAAAAAATTGAATATTGCTCTTCTCTTTAGTCTTCTCTTTAGTTCTAATTTCGCTGTATAAATTATAAACTCTAAGGAACATGTCATTTCCTCGTGCGAACTATAAAAAGCGGACTCAAATTACATACATATATCGAACTAATGATACAAACAACATATAATAAAGTCGGAGAAAACAAACTGTGTTACAGATCCGTTTATCGATACGTGTGTATGCAAAGGTGGAAGAGTGAAACAAAGCTGTAAACGAAAATATAGAGAAATCAAAGCAAGGTATTGATCGATAGTATCTCCCTTATTGTGGTAGATACAAATGTATGTATACATGTATGTATATGCATGTGGATTCTGTTTTCCCGAGTTGGCCGGGTATTTGAAAGATTCACAGTACATTACATGCTTTCGTAAAAAATACCGCCGATGACATTTTTCGTTTGTTTCTCACCATCGCATTGGAGAGATAGGAAATACCCATATTCATTTACAATAGTATATTTATTCATATTTCGACTACTTTGCTTTTCTCGTTTCTAGGTCTTTATCTGGCCTCTGTAAAAATAGAACTGACAACATGAGCGATACGATTACTTCTCTATCGTATGTACTTACATACGCGTACAATGTACTATATACATACATAGTAGATCATATGCATTCATGTTTTGCGTAAAGATCTTATTTCGTTCGTTCGATAATTTTAAGGGATGATTTGCATATGTACTTGCTCATTTGCAGTGTTCATTCAAAACCATTAACAGTAAAATTGATCGATGAGTATTTTACAGTATTTTCGATAGTTTCTTATTATGATGATGTAACATCATCAAGGATTGCTTTGGTTTTCTTTGCATCAGATTCATATGAACAACATTGTCTTCGTTTGTTGCATAATATTTGTACCTCCATATATATGTATATCCTGTATGTATCCTTTATTGCAATTTTCTGCGTTTCTTTTTAATCATCGAAAATGATGAACACGTATGTACACATGTGACTTGAGTTGAAGGGACAAATACGAATTAAGATTCTTGTCGATTTTTTCCATATTTTTCATCGTGATCGGCAATATAATTATAATTAAGATCGTTCTATTAATCGAGCATATTACACGAATTTTACTCTGTATTTAAAAATCATCGTTCTGTTTCATTTTCTAATCAGATCCATGCATTATCAAGTTGGTTTTATTTTTAATTCTGTTACACAATAAATTGAGCATCATGAACGAAAAAAAAGCTCGGTTATGTGTTTATGTATTCATGTACATAATTCATGTCATAAGTATGTATGTACTATGTATGTATAACTGTTTTGTCCGTTTGTACGTTCATGCACGTTGTGAAACAGTCGATCATTTGAGGAACAATATTTGCTTAAACTGGTGAAGCGAATAAATGTAAATTGCGATATTTATATTTAATGTTCTTGGCTTTCCTTAGCTAATATTATCAAATCAACAAATTTACACTGCTGTTCGTTATTGTATATATTTTATGATTGATTAATAGATTACCAGTTTTTTGAACTATTTATTTCTCGTAAATTTAATTTATTGGTAAAAAAAATTAAACGTTTCTTGTAAAATAAAACAGTCCTACATACAAAATGGAGTGGTTTATTTTAAGTAACAGTAACGAGACAAGAAATCGTTCAGGGCTACGTATGAAGCTACTATAAATTTGTGAAACTCTCAAAGTTTTCCGTTTTATCGATGACAAAATGTTGCAAGTTCACAGTGTTAAACTGTCTGCCATAAATCCTATTCTATAAAGTATATCACTTTTTCCAAGGTTGCTTGGCGTTACAGTGAAAGTTTGTGTATCTAACGCCCCCTATCGAGCATTGTTCGTTTCAGTGACTTCAAATAACTGAAAAATATCGACAACGTCGTGTGACGTGTAATGTACAATTTTTAAGCTGTCGGAGAGAAAATGGAATATTTTAAAAGTAGTATTTTAAAGTCGGTTTTAGGTTCTGCACCTGTAGGAAACGAACCATCGGGTGCTGATACGGTATTTCAAACTTTTTAATCGATAAATTACGTATTTTCATCTTCTTGCCTCGTTCTAATACAACACATGGTGGTCATGATTTGCATGACATTTCATACAAACTAAACTAATCGTAAACTGTATGTGATTAAAATAAATCTGGATATTTAGAGATATATTGGCATTTCTTCGATTCTTTTTTTCTCATTTTTTATATCGGTCCATGTACTTTTGTATTGTTCATTTTTTTCATTTGTGTAATCGTGCAGGTAGAACGATTGGTAGACAGGTTACAATCGTCAACGTTATTAAATGACAGACGAGATGCCTGCCGGGCACTCAAAGCTCTTTCACGCACTTATCGTGTCGAGGTAGGAGCTCAAGGAATGGATGCTTTGAGACAAATTCTAGAGATGGATAGAACCGACTGCGAAATCATTGCTTTAGCATTGGACACTCTTTGTAATATAACCAATCCAAAAACGTTCGATGAAGAAAGTAATGTTCATAGTTGGACAATTGAATTTTCTACTTACAAATTTTACTATGTCTCATACAAATACTATTTTCAGTAAATAACCATGGGCCTAATAATAAAATAGGAGAACAATTCACAGAGATATTTATAAAAGATACAGATAGCGTGGGATTAGTTTTAGCACTCTTGGAAGAATTTGAATTTAACGTCAGATGGCTAGCATTGAAGTTACTAATGCACCTGTCGACTAATAGACTGAAAGATATGCAAGAAATAATTTTAATCAGACCCATGGGTGTTGGGAAACTGATGGATCTCCTTGGTGATAGTAGAGAAGTTATACGTAACGAAGTACATTTTTATAAGTTCATGATACATACACTTTCATGTTTTAACTATTTTATTGTTCAAAAGTTTAAGTATAGTTTCATAATGTTGCAGATTTTATTGCTTCTTATTCAACTAACAAAAGGCAATGCGTACATTCAAAAAATAGTTGCATTCGATAATGTATTTGACCGCATTTTGGATGTTATTGCACAAGAGGGTAATGCAGAAGGTGGTATCGTCGTGGAAGACTGCCTGTTGCTTATGTTAAATCTTTTACGGGGTAATATAAGTAATCAAAATTATTTCAAGGAAGGTAATGTATAGATAAACATGTGCTTGACAAATATCACTTTGCTACATCTAATATTTGAGCAAAAGTAACATTCTTATTATTGCATTTTAGGTAGTTATATTCCAAAATTGACACCAATGTTTCAAATACCATCTGGAATTGATGACAATGCATGGAGTCCACAGAAGGTATCAAATGTTCATTGCATGATGCAAGTGATTCGTGCTTTAGTAGCACCAAGTGGGCCTGCCCAGGTAATTGTATAAATATATTTCGCAAATTTCTCAGCTTTTTCTTAGTTTTTTAAATCTCTCTGTAAATCTTATTGATATATTCTGACCAATAAAATATGTAAAGACAGTGGCTAACTGTCAAAGAATTATAAGAGCCTGTGGACTTCTACAAGCTTTGTGTAACATATTGATGGCTAGCGGTGTACCTGCGGATGTGTTGGCAGAAACCATTAATACAGTAGCTGAAGTTATTAGAGGAAATACGAATAATCAAGAATTTCTAGCTGGAGTAATGGCTCCTAGTAATCCTCCTAGGTACTTTCACGGTATTATATTCAAGTTTTATAAATCTACCGCATTCCACCATTACAAAACTTGTATATCATTTTCGCAGACCTGCGATTGTTGTTTTACTCATGTCTATGGTAAATGAAAAACAATCATTTGCTTTAAGATGTTCCGTTCTTTACTGCTTTCAATGCTTTTTATATAAAAACAAAGTGGGTCAAAGTCAACTTATTCAGACTTTATTGCCCCAAGGGAATGAGGTGCCATCTTTGACAACAGGTTTGTGAAAAGCTATTCTGTAGAAAATCTTTTCTAGAAATTTTGTTTTTATAACGTCTGATTGGTGTATAACGAACGAGAAATATTTTACAAACGTAATATTGCTAGGACAGTTGTTATGTGGAGCTTTATTTTCGTCGGATTCTTTATCGAATTGGTTTTCTGCCGTGGCATTGTCTTATGCACTGATCGACAACAACACGCAGAAGGAACAAATGTTACGCGTGCATCTTGCGACCAACATCGGAAAGCCACCAGTGACCTTGATACAACAATGCGTAATGTTGCTGCAACAAGGCAATAAAACACAATGCAAATTAGGTCTTTTAATGCTACTTTGTAGATGGACTGCTGATTGTCCAGCCGCTGTTAAAGCATTTTTGGATATCGATTCATCTGTACCTTACCTAACAGCATTGTTGTCGTCGCAGGAGAATAACGATGATTTACAGGAAACCTTGTTACAAAGTATGTGCGCCATGCTTATTGGATTGTGTGTACATTTTAACGATAACACCGTTTCTAATTATACGAAGGTAATACCATGAAATTTTGAAACGGTAAATGTAAAGTAAAATATTTATATTAAAAGTGTGTATACTAACATTGTATTGCATGTTCTTTTCTTTCCTTTTTCTAGGAAAAATTATGCGATTTAATTGAAAATAGAATAGGATTAGAAGGATTTCAAGATGCTATCGGTGGTCTCGCTAGGCACGAGATATATTCTAAAACTTTAAAACACCCTCAACCTTCGGCGAAGAATCCTTCGGAGCTTTTATTGGACCATGAATTTTGTAGATTGTCAAAAACGTTAGAGGGTGAATAATTAATAGTTGCGGTTATTTGTTACGCGTTAATACCGACTCTTAAAATTTTTACAATTTTGTGAATTCCATTTTATAATGTTATGTCTCGTATTTTCAGGTGTGATTACGAAGTTGGTTCCAGACGGAAGTAGTTTGCATCATAAAAATCAAATTACAACACCTATATTACCAGATTCCGTTTTAGTATCGCAATATGAAGAAGTTATTCGAAAACAAGATTTACAGATACAGAAACTCAGTCAAATTATGGAATCACTGGTCAAAGAAAAACATGAACTCGAAGTACGATATAGTAAATATTGATAAACAACGTTTTATCACCGTAGCAAAGTGTATAGACTTTTTAATTGTTAATTATTTGTGCAGGCACAAATGCATGATCTTCGATCAACTGTTAGTTACTTGAAGGATCAAAACTTAGTTTTACGAGCAGCACAAACTAATTTATTATCAGAAGACACTGTACTTAATGAAAAAAATGAGACTGACTTGGAACGCAAATTAAAGGAAAAATCCGGTGAACTGGAAAAGCTAAAGAAAGACCAAGAAAATCTTTTGGAACTTTTAACGGATCAAGATAGTAAAATTATACTGTACAAAGAGAAATTAGCTGCATTAGGTGAAAAAGTGTGTAATTTTGCTAACAGATATTGTTAAACTATTCTTGATAAACAGCAGAAGTTCAAATTTTTTACCGCTTCCTGTTTTCTTTTAGGTCGAGACAGATGAAAGTTCTGTTGAACTGGACACCGATGATCAACCGGAATCCAGCAATTCCGTCGATCGCATTGATTAATATCATTTCTTCAATATCGAAAATTGTTATAGTAATAATGATAATGAAAAGACTTCTACTTCGGTTGTATCTTTCCTTCTTTTTTCATGTTTCCTATTTGTTTAAAAAATAATATATCGTTGTATTATTATAACAATATGTTGGAATTTTTATTGTGTTGCTACAATTTCACATATACAATATTTTAATTGCATGTTAAATGCAGTCTTAGCACGAATTTATTTAATTGCATCAATCAACAAACCAATAAATATTTTAACTGCATTAAAAATGTACACAAAAAGGTTTGTTAAATCATAATAATCTATTTAGAAAGATATCTTAATGTTGATTCAATTGTCATCGAACATTAAATAATAATACAAAATACCGCACTCTTGGAAATTGCTGTAAGCAAAGATAGAAACGAAGTATTTTAACATTCCGTTAAATTAGTATTCAAACTGTATCTATATGTTAAATTAATATATACGATATAACTTACTGTAATAGGAAGAAATAGTACTTACATCTTACTCTTTAATAAAAGTACTATACTTTTAATATATTCTCATGTACTATCACATATCTATCATAACACAGTCTGCTATTTACATTCATCATTAATGTCTATAAAGTACTTTCTCGTTGCTTAATAACTGCTTGCACACACTTTGCCATAGTTTGCGAAGCACGAGATATCACATCTGTCATGAAAAAGTGATCCAACGACTTTTGCTTAATTTTCAGTGGACTCGAAGACAAGGACCCGCCCACTTTCTATATAAAATAAATATAAATTAATATATGCATATTATATGTTAACATCTGTATATGTATGTATGTATGGTGTGTGCATGTGTGTGTATTATACCTTTGATAACTCCAATGCCTGAGCAAAATAATTGGCCGGTTCTACATTACCATATCTAACTAAATGCGGTGCAATTTCTTCCAGCCTACATCTTACTTCCGACAAGTTGTCATAGGGTAAGCAAATTCCGCAAACCTATCGAATCACATTTAACTAACGCTTTTGACCGATTTTCGATTTATATTTATATTTAAATGAAACGTTTTAATAATTACTTCGGAAAGAGCCCGTATGATCTTCCAATCTGGTCGTGCTAAACCCGGTGGTGTAATTGCAGCACAAGTTTGTTGCGCTCGACCTTCTGTATTTACGTATGTTGCAACTTTTTCGGTATACGCAGCTCCAGGAAGTATAACATCTGCAATCGAAGCCCCCTCATCGCCGTGACTACCTAAAATGTTAACCAGATTCGATATAGAAAATTAGCACGCCTTTAAATAAACAATATATATGTACCTATATATACAATGAAAGTATTTGGAAAATCTTCTTTCTTTATATTTGTATCATCAGCTCCTAGTAAAAAGAGAACTTTTGGTTGCTGTTCTTTAACTTCCTCAACAGATGATGAATAACCCACGTCCAATGCTGCTACTTGGGACGCGTTTGTATGAAGAATATTTAAAACTTTCCATTCTTCAGGAGCCTAAACGGGTGTAGGAAATAATGTACCTACGATATAGTATTCGACCAAATATAAATTATTCTGTTTTTCTTACTTTCGAGTTTTCTCCCAAGGTTTGTCCCAATAACTGTGCCTCGGACAAAATTTTTGCTCCATCTTTTCTAGTTAATTGCTCAACACCTAAGATGATTAGAGGTCTTTTAGCAGATTTCAAAGTGCTCGAAAATGAATGACTGCCATTTCTTAATTTTGTTATAATATCTGGAGATTCACCTAAATGCTAAAATTTTAATGAATCTTTAATATTTCGAAAAGATAAAGAATATCACTATATTATCACATTATTAAGAGATTCCATGCTTACTTCGTAATCATATGTTAAATCTACGTTCGGGCCAATTAGAGCAATAGTCTGTTCGCCATGAATGTATCCTTTTCTTAAACGAGTATTTACCAGCGGTGCTTCGTACCTCGGATTAGTACCAATCAATAATACGACATCAGCCTCTTCTATTGCAGCAATTGTGTTGTTTAATAAATAATTACTCCTTATGTCAATACCTGAACCATGTTTTGGAAAGGATTGTTCTGTTGCAAGGGTTTCACCACCAAGTCTGTTTACTAAATCTTTCAGGGCAACTAGTGCTTCGGCATCAGCTAATTTTCCAGCAATTGCTGCACACTTATTTGAAGGTATATTTTGAGTAGCTTTAGCAGCTAATAAAGAAGATATAATCTTAATATGATGAAAATGTTATCTAAAAAAGGAAGTGAAAAGCAAGAATTTGAAACGTTTAAAAAATAATTGTTACATACTTGCTACAAGAGCATCTTCCCATTCAACAGCTTCTAATTTTCCATTGATTTTTATCATAGGAGTTATAAGTCTTTGCCGCTTTAGCCCATCATAAGAGAAACGTGCTTTATCTGAGAGCCATTCTTCATTTATTTCCTGTACAGCATTGAATCATTAAAAATTGTAAATATATTTAGCTACTAACTACTATGTTAACAATACCTCATTTACTCTCGGTAAAATTCTCAGAACTTCACCGGTTCTGTGCGATATCACTATATTACTACCAACAGCATCGAGAATGTCGATACTATCCGTACGACGTGTTTCCCATGGACGAGCAACAAAAGCATATGGTTTACTCGTTAATGCTCCAACAGGACATAAATCAATGATATTACCAGATAACTCTGATAAAAACATCTTTTCTACATATGTTCCTACCTATAAGAATACAATTTAAAACAAAAAAATATATATATTTATATATAAAAAGTAAAAGTAAATAGACATACTTGCATATCATTTCCACGGCCTGTAGTTCCTAAATCATCGATTCCAGCTACTTCAGATGCAAACCGAATACATCTTGTACAGTGGATACATCGTGTCATAATTGTTTTTATCAAAGGTCCAATATCCTTATCTTCCACTGCTCTTTTACCGCTATAATTAATGTCAACGAATCTACTTCGATCACTGCCAAATGCCATACTTTGATCTTGTAAATCGCATTCACCACCTTGATCACAGATGGGACAATCTAAAGGATGGTTTACTAATAAAAATTCCATAACACCTTCTCGAGCTTTACGAGTTAAATCAGAATTAGTTTTCACTCTCCATCCTTTCATAACAGGCATGGCACAAGCTGCAACAGGCTAAATATTTGCACAGTCAAGATACATATATCTATGTAATTTTAACTTAATTCATACATGAGCATGCATATATAACAAATAATAAATACCTTAACTTGTTTTTCAATTTCCACAAGGCACATTCTACAATTTCCTGCCACAGCTAAGCGTTCATGATAACAAAATCTAGGAATTTCTACTCCTACTTTTGCAGCGGCCTATATGTAGCAATTTGTCAAAGATGCATTAACAGTATTAACAGTACACACATGAAGTAAAAACATTACTTCTACCTGCAATACAGTGGTCCCTGGTGGAACCTGAACTGGTTTGTCATCTATGAATACTTCTACCAACTCTTGTTGTAACTTAGAAGATGTATGAAATCCCACAATAGAAAGTCTGCCATTTTGTAATCCTGCAGACAATCTCACCACTGGAAGCCTCAACATTTTGGTACAATTATTCTGCTACGCGTTGATGTTATGCTGTTACGTAAGAAAACGTCATAGCTTCAAACTTTAAGCAAGCAAATGTAATAACCTAATTTTACATTGTTCAATAAATTCCTATTCTCTCAGTGTCCATAAAACAAATATGCGATGAACCATAATATGTATTAACATAACAAAACTATTCTATTATTATAACGCATTCACGATGATTTATTCGGTCAAAAATTACCAGATTTGTTTCCGTCTCGCAAATTCCTTCTGAGCTTGAGGACCGCTTAAAACGGACGACCTAAAATATTGATCTAAAATAGGATTAGTCACAGACAGTATATCGTTTTACTATATGTATACTTTCAAGCGTTGGCAAGAAAGTACCTGTCTAACATCGTTTAATTTTTGAACATATCCTTCGCGACATCTACCAGAAAAAATTGATCCAATGATTGTTCAATTGTGTAAGATTGCAAAATGACATTATTTTTATGTGATTTTCATTGCATGTAGAAAAGAATTTTAAAAAATTAACTGTATATACATCACATGTCACGCATACACTATACTCAAGCATACAAATTTTACAAAGAAAGTCTTAAATAAACGAAACGATAATAATTCAAGTATAATTAATTTGACAAAAACAAAAAAGAAAAAGAAAAAATAGAACTGAAGTAACAGTTTTTTTTTTTGCCAACAGTGTTGTGTGTGTTTTAAAGAAAGAAAGAAAGAAAAAGACAAGAGACAGAAAAATATATTTAATGATTGAAATTAATAGATATATTGCGTCTGATTTTGGCAATGATAAAATAATTTCGCAATAAAGGAGGCAATATTTAAAATTAGTCGCTAGTAATTTTACTATTTCCCGAGAATAGCATACCGGAATGACGTCATGTTGCGACAAGTAACGAACCGTCAACTTTTCGCCATATATAGATTTCTCTTCCGGTACGCAGATAAAGGGAACTTCGTTGTCAGTAACTTCGGTTAGGTGTCCTCTTTTTACTTAATTTTTCGCGATGGCAATTTGTGATCTTACAACTGATAAAGGTATTAAAGATCTAAATTCCTATTTAGCAGATCACAGTTATGTTGAAGGGTAAGTATACTATTCTTTTTATACAATCTCCATTGGAATGCACGTGGTTCTTTTCACTTATTGGCGTTTTGTAGTAATCGAACCTTTTATGTTCTCTTTCTGTTTTCCTATGTTTGCCGTTTGTAATCATTATTCTCTTATAAGTGGTCATATTTTCATCTTTAAAAACAATTTCAAGTTTCTTTCAGCATACAAATTCATTATTGCACACACGCGCGCGTATATGTATGCATGTACATATGTGTCTATTAAAATGTGAATAAACATCGCACCTAAATTTAAAGAAACCCGTTTTTATACTTCGAGTATAAGAAATGTAAGGCAATCTTTTATTACGTACATTACATCTACAGTGAAATACATTTAAAATTTTATGTTATGTAATATATCATAATTTATTTTTGATATTTCGATAAAAACATAGCGAGATTTTTCAAAGTAGGTCATACGCAAAATTATTGTATTTTCAAGGTGGCAAGCCAGTCAGGCAGATGTAGCAATTCTGGAAGCTTTAGGAGAAACACCAACATATTCAAATCCTCATATTTTGAGATGGTATAATCATATCAAATCATATGATTTCGAGACACTTCCAGGAATCAAGAAAACACTTGTTAACTTTAGTAGCAATAATTCTACTAATGTAACAACAGCCAAGAATGAAGATGATGACGACGATAAAGATGTAGATCTATTTGACTCTGATGAAGAAGAGGATGTAGAAGCTGCAAGAGTCAGGGAGGAAAGATTGAAGGCATATGCTGAGAAGAAAGCTAAAAAACCGGTGCTTATTGCTAAATCCAGTGTTGTATTAGATGTTAAACCATGGGGTGATGAAACTGATATGAAAGCCATGGAAGAAGCTGTGAGATCCATTCAAATGGATGGACTAGTTTGGGGAGCATGTAAGTTAATTTCTTGTCAGTTTTTCCTATCAGAATTCAATTTTGCAAAATTATGCATTTTATTTATATTGTTTTTTCAGCTAAATTAGTTGCAGTAGGCTATGGCATTCATAAGTTCAGGATAATGTGTGTCATAGAAGATGACAAGGTATCTGTAGATGTGCTAATAGAAGAAATAGAAAGTTTCAAACAGTATGTTCAATCTGTCGATATTGAATCATTCAATAAAATATAAACGATTGTTTTTGTCTCTTATTTTTAATGTAAACTTAATAAATAATAATCATTGTTTGTACATATTATTTGTTATTAAATAAGAAAAATTACTAATGCAATTTCAGTGATAATATATGAACAAAGCTGACCAAAATATTTATCTGAATGATATTATCTCAATATTTACAATAGATGATAAGAAAAACAGAATGATGTTTTATTTTTGTATATTTTTTACCTATTTAGAAGCTAATCATTTATACCGTTGGGAAGAATTGAATTGAAAGAAGCGGCGTTGCTGATAAATATATAATAGGCGAATCGTAAACTCAACTGGACATTAAATAAACGTGTATATCAGCATTTCAGGGCTGGAACAAATGATCTGAAGAAAGATTTCCTTCAAAATTATATAGTTTAGCTCCAATCCTTCACCTACTTGTTCCTCTTCGAAATGTACTTCTGAAATTAGATTAACATACTGGGATACCGTATCCCGTTATGAAACATACCATTAAATTTATAATTCGCTTTTTTCATCTAGAACTTCATTCTTGTTTATCTACAATTTTGAAATCTCATTTGAATTGACACATCGTTATTAATATGCACACTATGTTTAGTAAATATGTAGTTACATGTATTGTTGTAAATACATTTGACAATTTAGATACCTTTTGTCACGGATAAGGTTATTTGATAGTTCCGTTTGTTACTAATGACGTCATAGAAACTTGTTCCTTCCATATATAAAAAAATATGTCCTTTCTTTTGTAACATTTGTTTCAAATGTTTTTCCTGCGTGTTTAAAGCAATAGTAATTTTTATTCTTTTTGCATAAGTTGCAACCTAAATGACATTACTTCTTATATTGAATGTGCATACATACTCATCTATTAGGGCATGGAAAATCAGCTTTAGCATAGAAGCATACGTTTTTGTAATGTTATAATTACAATTATAATAGAGATTTCCAAGCTGTTACAATTAACAGGAATAGTTTTTACTTTTTGGTCATTTTATATTTGAGAAAAATCGTAAAAGCATTCGTAAGTTTTTGATACTATATTGTGCCTATAGTTGCTATACTATTATTGCAGTATTGTATGTTACTTGAGCTTGAAATCCGGTTTTAGTATAGTTTCTGTCTCTTGAATAAACATCGTATGTAAGTTATGCAGTAAAGAAATGTAGATTTGAAACAAAGAAGGCGATCGGGAAGACGTCAAGGATGTTACAAAAGTATCATTAAAATGCGTAAGCCCTTGGTTAATAAATCAACACACAACCTTAGTTAGTGTTGTATTAATGATATTTAAAGAAATGCAATTCAAAGCAGTATTAAATTTTTCAGAACATATGGCTAAATGAAGTTTAAATGAATTTTATTATATCAATCCCTACATAAGATAATAAGACTTTTAGTTGACATATGTTTGTTACAATATAACTTTTATTCTTAGAAATAAGAAACGCATACATATATAAATTTGAATTGAAACGCAAAGCATACGATATAAGCTGATATATGTATATATACATTCTTTTCTATCTTATTTAAACATATAGGCATCAGACTTTTTTCTTTCGCATGCCTTATTGTCGCGACAAGTCAATTCTGAGTTTTTGTTTTTCAATCACGATCTTTTTCAAGAGATAGTCCTTGCCACTGACCTCTAATAGGATCCCCACCTCCGTAATCGACAACGCGCGACAACTCTCTTGTATATAAAAGGGAACGGTAAGAATATTTCGTGAATATTCTTTCAAGTATCGTGGTGGTATTTCCCAATATTAACAACACTAAAAATTCTAATAAAGTTGGTTTGTTCATCAAAGGAAAATCAAATATAAGGAAGATGGCCTCTTTGTTAAATTTTTCAATTATTACGTGTTTATTATCGCTATTAGTGATTTATGGTGAGCATGTACATATACTTATAGTTTTTAACGTGGAAAAGAAACAAATTTTATTTCACGAGTCAATCTCACGAATCAGATCAATTAAATGATTTTACGTTATCAAATATTTTCGATACATGTTTAATAATGACCAACCTTCATTGTTAATTTCCATGAATATAATTACTATTACATGATACTGCATTTTCTACATATTTCTTGTATTGAGCGCAATATTGTTAATTCATTACTACAAATAATACTAATTGTAAGACAGCAAGCCGCTTCTTATATTTTTGTAATTTTATTCAATTTAAACTACATAACATATACCCTATTATTTATACTTTTATTCAAACAATAACAACACATGACTTCTGTAACTGCACACAGTAAAGATTTATGAGAATACTATTGATGAAAAAAGGAAAATTGCAAGCATTTTGAAATATTTTTCATTAGTTAAAGAACGAAAAAGTAGACAAGATAGATATGAAGATTCCTTACCTTCAAATCCGGTTTCGTGCGTGCAACCGTAGCTATTTATGAACACTTTTCATGGTATACGAATCACGCTTGACAAGTTCAAAGAAATCCTCTCGAGTTGATTAAAAAAAAAAAATTACTAATTTTATACATTATTGACGTGATTATTTATTTTTTTCATTATTATGTTAGACGAGAACGCTTTTCAAAGTTTTTAAAATTTCTTATCAAATTTTTAAATCTTTTTTTTTACCATTTACTATTTATGTTAATACAATAGAACACCAAATATTAGTGACGGGAGCAGACACAACGTTATCAAGAGTTTGTCTAGGATGTATATGCGAAGCTGCTTCCGGGTGTAATGTTACGCTTGGATGTGATGAGACTGTTTGTGGGCCATTTCGCATAACGTGGAATTATTGGGCCGATGCTGGGAAACCATCTCTGGAGGGCAAGCAGAGTACGAACGAGAATGGTTAGTATACGTACGTTAGAAGAATTTACAGTTGAATAAGTGCATAAATTTGCAATTGAAATAAAAAAAATGGTAGAAATAACTACCGAAATAAAAATACTTCCTCTTTCAGAGTTTTCAAAATGCGTAAATGACCCCTCTTGTGCGGCTCGTACAGTACAGGGCTATATGACGAAATTTGCACAGGTAAATTTCCAACGCGAAATTTCTATTAAAATGTGTATATTAGAGCCTTTCTTAAAATTTGTTTACTTTATATACTTCTTTATAGGACTGTAACGGTGACGGCAATATCAACTGTGACGATTTTCTTCGTATTCATCGATTAGGTGGTTACGGATGCAGTGGTCCTCTGAACCAAAAATATGAGGATACTTACAAACTTTGCATGCAGACTTTTGCGGCAAAACAATAACTGACAGAGGATAATATGGAAACATTTAATTTTATGATTATACTATATATGTATACGTATGTATCTTGAATAAATCATAAAGTAGTACATAGCTCCGATTTTATTTTAGGTAAAATTTTATTTAAATCATTTCAGAAGGTATATTACTGATTATCCGTGATCTGACATATTTATTATCTAAGATTGCGAGTGCTAAAACGTACTTCTTGCTTAAAAATACTTGCAGCATTAGTGATTAATATTGCTTTAATTTTTCAAATATTTTCATGTTTCGGCACGAAACTATTATAGCAGTATTAATTTCGACGATATACTTAACAATTACCATACCTTATTGTACTTTAAATTTAAAACACGGTTTTAGATTCATGCGATATTAATACTTTATCCACTAACACGGCTCTATTTTTCAACATTATTTTTTGTTTATCTAATATACTATGCGAATCTAGATTTTTTATCAAGAAACAATTTATAAATAAACGAAGACTTTCCCTAAAAGTTTGCAATTGAGGAGAAACGGAAATTCTTTCAAATACTTGCAGGCAAGCCTGTTCATTTTCGTGTAAAAGAATTTCCAATATAATTTTTCTGAGAAATTCCATGGTATGCTTATCTAGTTCCGTAAACTGAATAACCTGTAATATAATAATAATACTTGGTAAAAGACTTATATGATAAATATTTACAATATTATAATGAAAGCATAGTACTTACTTTTAAAACTGACAAAGCAAGACACTTTTCGATAAATAAATAAGTTAAGAACTGTGCCAAATTACTTAATTGTTTGTTTCCATACATTTCTAGTGTTTTCAATTTATCCCAGAAAGTGTATTGTATCGTAAGCTAAAAATTGTTGTCGATCAATGTTAAAAATGTTATAGATCATTTCTATTCGTACACACGCAGATACGTGTAGGATGTAAAAAAAAGTTCGGAAAAAAACTGTCGGTAAATTAGTCACCCTGAAGCCAAACTGACTAATTTCATTATTTTGCAATTTTTCCAATTTTAGTATAAAACCAAAGCATATGATTAGTACCCAATTTTTTGTAAATGAAATAAATTTAATAAATTTCGTTTGATGGAGTTAGTTACCTTGGTTTCTGAGGAACTCAAATAATCGAACTTAGCATGCGTTATTATTATTATGTATCAACATTGTGATTAACTTAATTAATTTTGTGGCGGTAGTAACGTTAAATAGTTTCAGTATAGTAGCATTAACACTAGAAAGTTTAATAGTCTTTTTAATACATCCTGTATACAAGGTGTTTCCTAACATGTCAGACCCACTTCAGCGGTGGATGAAAACAATGAAAAAAGTTCATACAAACGTGCGCCCTGTTTGACATTGTTCCCCAGTTATGGCCACTTTTGTACTCCAATAATGTGCAACTTCGTGAAGCATTTCAAATGATTTTTTATTTGGTAGATGTCTACCGGGGAAATGATCCGCGTATAGATGTCTTGCTTTGGCTGAATTACATTCGACGAGTCCATATATTAAATGCATGACTGCCATTTTCTGGTTTGAATACTTATTCATCATCACACTTCTAAGGCACAATAAATTAACTAATTATCAAATAGTCTTAATAAGAGAACGAATTATCCATTGAATCGTAGAACAGAATTAGTCAAGGTCGAGAGATATGAAGGAGTTATCGAGCATTGTATACAGACGTTTAGCGGAATTGTTTATACTACATAGCTCAGTTTGTCATTGAGAATTATTGGAGTACAAAAATGGCTATAACTTAGAAACAAGGTCAAATGGGGCACATGTTTATGTGAACTTGTTTCATTGTTTTGGTGTCCCTCATCCACCGCTGAAATGCGTACCACGTTAGGAACACCCCCTAATTCTATAATGCACAAATTAATCAAGTACCTGATATTTTCTGTTATATTCGCACAATTTTTCAGCTAATACCGCATAATAAAGATTGAACTTATTTTCTTGCAAGCAACAATGCATTAAAACATGTATGATTTCCCTTTCTTGTTGATCTTTCAAACCAAGTTGATGAAGTTTTTCAAAGGCATCTAAATAGTCTTCAGCTGTCATAAGGATACAGAAAATGTTTCTTCTTGTGTCTGTGTTCATTCTCTGTTTCTGTGCTAAATCCAGCATTTTTTTATCAAAATTCAGCTTACTATGTCCATTTGTAGCAGCTTTATTATGCACATTATTTGGACCAGACCAAGCTGAGCCTATGATCCACCATTTTCCATTTTCATCAGCTATAATGACAAAATAGTTAAACATAATTTACTTATGTAAGCTGGCTACTGGTATTAGTTTCAGTGAATATATTATTTACCATGTAATAAATCCTCTAAAGACACATGAAACTGTATTATTGTGTTGCCTCTACGTATTATACTTTTCATAACTTTTTTTAAGTGTTCCACATGAGAAGGATCGTATTGAGGTATTTTGTTGATATTATTGTTTTTTATCGCTAACAAAATCTCCAGCATAAATTTAATTCTTGAACTGTATAATAATGATGATGATTTTTAAACTAATTCCAGTAATTGCTATTCTTTATTTGAAAAATATAAAAAAACCTACTTTTCTCCCTTTTCGTGACTAGCTCTTCGTTGTAAATTCTGTATAAATTCCTTCAAAGCATTTGGATCATCTTTCCTCAATGAAAATCCTACAGTTTTTAAAATAAGCAATATCAATTCAATTTCTTTTTCTGTAAATTTCATCATTAGTTTATCAAGTATCTGATATAGAAGTTTATATCCATATACCTGTATAAAATTGAAATTAAAGAAGGTATTAATTGAGTGACTATTTCAATACATTATTATAGAAGAAAGTGTTTGTACTTTAAAGTTGTACAGATGTGAAAGCATGAGAGCTACATTGTCCAATTTTTTGTCCTCCACATCTTGAGGTCTTCCTATTATATCGATAAACTTTTTAATGAGCTTTTCCAAAAAACTAGCACCTATTTCAACACCAATATTGGCATGCAAAATTGTCACTAACATCATATGCTCACAAATAAGACGGTCTGGTGTAATTACATGTGAAACTAAACTTTCAATTGTTAATTCTGATAAAACATAATTCATGTTATTACGACTGTTTGTCATATACATTGCCTCTATCTGCAATACACAATGCAATGTACATTTTATTATACTATGAATATGATATAATAATAACAAATTTATCTATTTCTATAACTATAGTTTGTCTTACAATATATAATAATTACCTGATTAGTTATATAGTGCATATTATGTTCTGTCACTCTATTCAGATAACCTTTTAATTGCTTTTTTAATGAATGCAATTTTTCATCATCTGGATTTATATTATGCGGAACAATTCTGGCAGCTGGTGGAACATATCTATTATCATTATGTATAATGTTACCTTCTTTATCTCTCTTTCGTCCATATATATCTTCCCATATGTCTTCATTATTAATATTAATATTATTAGTTTTTGTAATCTCTGTGCACTTTATTTTTATTGTCTTGGATTGTTTCATCCAAGAAATTTTGTCTGAATCATTGTTGTTATTGAATTGTTCTTCAACTGTAACATCGGAACTCTCATTTTCATTTTCACTTTTACTTTCACATCCATTACCATTATCTGATTCACTATCTACATATTCATTTCCTTGAACTGTTTTTGACTTCAAATCATCTAAGTTAAATTCAATCTCCAAATGTTCCTTTTCTGTCTCTACTAAACATTTTCTATCTTTCTCTAAACAAAAATCCAAAAGATCTGAACATGTATTAAGGAAATTTAGTGAAAGTAATAATTCATATTTTGAATATTATAAGTACAACTTATAACATGTACAAATTCTTACTTTAACAATTACAAATAGGTATTTAAAATAAAATAGAAAGGATACAGTCCAAACCATCAGCTACAAATGATTTAGGAATTGTCTTTCTTTTTCTCTTATTTAATTTTAATTGCTTTTCTAATCTTTTAATTATTTTATCTTCCTTTGAATTGGCATGCCTAAGTAATTCTTTCTTTTTATTCTCCTTTTTACATTCAACTCCTTCAAGTTTTCGGTTTACAATTTCTTTTTCACATTTTTCGAAACTTCTTTTTATATTTACCGTATTGTCAACAATTTTCTCATTGTTTATTTCATTATCATTAATTTCAATAGTTTTTTCAAAGCCAATGGCCTGTGCACGTGTACGTAATTCTTTCCTTCTTTTCGAATGAATTACTTTATTAATTTTCTTTTGCTTCCTGAGATCTTTACGCATTTGCTTGCGAGATTTTTTTACTAACTTTAAATTTGAACATTTTTTACCCTCAACTATTGTTTTCGAGTGTTTAAGTGAACCCATTTTTCATTCTGTAAAGCAGGTTATAGATTCTGCTGTAACTTTAAGAATGATTTATTTCTTTCATAAATATAATAAGTAAAGAAGTCTTCTATACACTCGCCTTAGCCATTTGAAGAATAAATTACATGTTCAGCGTTATCATGTGTAACGCAGTTTAATAAATTATCTTCCGTTAAATTTACAAAAGACCTAGAACTGTGGCACTACTGATTTATACATATCAAATTCTAGCTGAATGTATCTGTGTTCGTTTATTTGACGGAGGATTACTTGTTGCGTGGCATTGTAGGGATTTTTGTGGAAAGGATGGGTTCCCCTCCCGTGGAGCGTTGATCCGCTCTGCTTGCGTTGAATCTGCTTATCCGGTTTCAATCTCGATGGAAAAAGGATCTGGATACTCTTCTGGTGTGATATTAAATTTAAAGAAAGACTGAATAAAAATAAAAGGAAAATTATTCCCCGCTATGAAACTAATTTACTAATTTACTTTACAAAATCGAAATAGTCAGATAATACGACTGATCCCTTTTGGCGCTAAAATGTCAGTGAGTGGCGAAGCAACGCCAAGACATAAAATCTAATGTAGCGGGCTTTTGTTAATATTAATATCCAATAATATAAATCGTTTCCCTACTTATTATCTAACAAGTCAGTTGATTGGTTCGTAGCTCATTAAGAACGAGTGGTTTTACATGTGGCGATGTTTCGATGCCAAGCAATATAAATCAATATTTATTTAGAGAGCGTCGCTAAGTAATAAGAGTTTGCGGAAGTATTAACAAGCTTTTATTTGTTGCTTCGATTGCATCAGTTGACAGTTTGAATTTGGCGCGCATAAGTCAATGTCATGTGGAGCCATCTAATATCAGGCCGTGTTCACATGGTACCGTAACACTCTTTGGGGTTGTTTTCGTTGGTCTTTCAAGTTGTTGGGTTAATCATTATTGTTTTCCGAATTGTGCAGGTAGAAAGTTAATTTAAACATTAAATGATTCGATACGAATAGTAAGATGAAAATGTTGATGAAAGTTTCGCAAAGTTCTTTGACAGTTGCCGTTACAAAAAGGTAACTATTACTATAGGAAGAAAAAGTGTTACGGTAGTAGAAGTTTCTTTTACTTAACCCTACAGAAAAAGAGTACTCTTGTATAATTGATTTTGTGTTGTTAAACGATATGATATATTTTACAGTGCAATACAAAGGAAAACTTTTTTCCTCGTCAAAAAATGTAATTTTTCCTCGCAGAAGGTACCTAATAATAAAATAACACGAAAATCAATTGTTACACCATTTCCTCCGTTAACGGAGCCGGTTCCTAATTTACCTAAAGCAATTTATGCTACCACTAAAGATGAACATCAAACTACTAAAGTGACAGTCTTATCAAATGGATTGAAAGTTGCTTCTGAAAATCGATTTGGACAATTTTGCACAATAGGTGGTAAGTATCCAAAAGAATTCTTTGAATTCTACAAAAATTGGCATTTGGCGTAAGATTTTTATTGTACATTGAAGAATTACTATTACAAGTATAAAGAAAATCAGTAATTTACTTTTACAGTCTACTAAAGCATACAAGAATAAAGACCAAATAATGTTAGCACTAGAAAAACATGGAGGAATATGCGATTGTCAAGGATCTAGGGATACATTTATTTATGCTGCATCAGCAGAACGTCGTGGTTTAGATACTGTTGTACAAATTTTAGGTGATATTGTTTTAAGACCTCAAATCACACAAGAAGAGGTAAAAAATTATTATTATGCTGTTGTAATATACTATACATATATGTTGTGTGCAATATAAAATATTAATTAAAGTACATACAAGTTCTATGGTATTAATAGTATTATAAAAATTTATGGTATAAATATATTACAGACGTTTTGTTCAAATATTCAAAATTCAAAATAATTAATAAAATTCCTAGGTGAATGCTGCAAGACAAATGATTCAATTTGAATTAGAATCTTTACTTACAAGGCCAGAACAGGAACCAATACTCATGGACATGATTCATGCTGTAAATAAGAAAAAATCAATTTACTTGATATAATAAAGAACTTTACTTAAACGTTAAAAGTATATTTATGAAAATAAACTTATTTTAGGCTGCATATAGAAGCAATACCCTTGGACTTCCAAAAATTTGTCCAAAAGAAAATATTGACCGTATTGACAGAAAAATATTATTTGAGTATTTAAAATGTCATTACACCCCAAATAGAATGGTGGTAGCTGGAGTAGGTATAGAGCACGAGGATCTCATTTTGGCAGTTCAAAAGTAATTATAAATAAAACTGTCAAGTATTTATCAATATAAATTAAAGTAATATTAAATTAATTTTCATTAATTTGAAAGCTGTAGATTGTAATTTTTAAAATTTGTATAATTTAAAGTATAATACATCATTGTTAAATGTGTGAATGGTTTTCAAATGGATTTTATGGATACTGTTACAGATATTTCGTTGAACAGAAATCTGTTTGGGAAGAAGAAGAACAAGGGGAAAAGAAAAACTCTGTACCCATAGGAAAATTTTTAAGTAAAATTGACGCCTCAATAGCACAATATACTGGAGGTTACATACTAGTAGTTATCTCTTTTAATTAAACATTTTCAAAAAGTTTCTTTGAATTCGATTATCTATGATAATTTCTTATGCTTATGTGTACAGGAAGAATGCAATGTGCCTGTATACGCAGGACCAAGTGGTTTACCGGAATTATCGCACGTAGCCATAGGTTTGGAGGGTTGTTCTCATCAAGATCCAGATTTCGTAGCGATGTGTGTTTTAAATATGATGATGGGTGGTGGTAACAGTTTCAGTGCTGGAGGTCCAGGAAAGGGAATGTACACCCGTTTATACACGAATGTACTTAACAGGTAACATTTACAGTACGCTTGATTATTTAGAAAGCTGAGTGAAAAAAAAGCATTGTGGTAAAAAAGTTAGTTTACAGATATCACTGGATGTACAGTGCAACTGCGTACAATCATGCGTATGCGGACACAGGTCTTTTTTACATTCATGCATCTTGTACACCATCTCATGTCAGATATATGGTGGAAGTGATTGTGCATGAGATGGTTACAATGGCGAATAATATTACAGACAGCGAATTAGCAGTATGATTTTATTTATAAATAGTAATTGTATTTTTTTACTTTCTTACAATATCAAATTGACGATTATTTACTAATGCAGAGAGCAAAGAAACAATTGCAATCTATGTTACTCATGAATTTGGAACAAAGGCCCGTTGTATTTGAAGATATTGGAAGACAAGTTCTAGCTACTGGATCTAGAAAACGACCAGAATACTTCATACAGGCAATTGGTAAGTTCCATATCAACTCCACTACTGTATGTATAATTAATGTTATACGTTATTCAGGAATAAAATTTCTCTATTCTTTATACTGCTTGTAGGTGCAATATCAAAGGATGATGTGAAAAGCGTGGCGCGCCGTTTACTTAAATCAGCGCCTAGTGTAGCAGCTCGCGGAGAAGTAAGAACTGTTCCTTCAATCGGAGATATTCAAGCTGGATTGATTGACGCACAAGGCAGACTACCTGGCTCTGGTAGTAGATTATCACTTTTTCGTTAGCTTGAAGAAAAAATTCCTTATCTCGAACTCGTAAGTTCTTTTTCATACAATAGTTCTTTGGCAAAATTGCTTATTATGTAAAACCCTTTACGTTGGAATTAAAATGAAAATTTTATATAGTATTAATATGTAATTAAATGTAGTTTATTAATTTATTTATAATTTACATTTTGTGTATTTTAAACCTTTTTAACGTTTTAGATTTATATAAGTGTGTGTTCTACACAAACATTATACTCATGTAACATAAAAAAAAATATAAATACAATTAATGAATAAAACGAGACACATTCATGACTAACATGAGATATTTTCATGTTGTATATATTAGTAATTATTGCGTGATGGTATATCAGAGATAAATTTTACATTAATTTTATTAATATAACAAAAAATGCAAAATTTTAATCGTATATTCTTTATTTCTGTACCAAAATTGTATCCACGCGTACACGAGCACTGTATATATACGCTGTACATGTACTGTGCATACGCTGCATATAAACACTGATCAACTTCGTGCAAAGAAGAGACAATAAAATTAAGCTTCCACTTCTTCCAGTGTTTTGAGGAAAGAAGCTTTCTTTTGAGCAACACGGTTTTTTCTTTCTGACAAAGAAAGTTTTGCGCGATTCCATCGCTTTTTCACAGGTACGTTTTCTCTGGTGATCTTCGTGTGTTCTGGATTTGCGCGTATGGCTTCATGGGCACTCTTATAAATACCCTCAATCTACAAATGAGAACAACATAAACTTATCAATAATGATGTTTTTTTTTAGTGTTTAAGTAAAAAAAAATTAAATGAAAAGAAAATTGCAATTAAAACAAATGGAATGTAACACAGGTCAACATGAAAAATGCAACGATCTACGCATTCATCCTTCAAAACCAATGCATTTATTATTGTCCAACAGCGACACCGCGAAGATCGTCCAATCTTGCAGTAATTATAAGTTGGACGAATAACTATATGTAAAGAAAGTATACGAATACTTACATTGTCAGCAGTAATGCCATTCTTGATGTACTGTGAAAATTGTCCCTTGAAAGCTTCATCATCTTCTTCTTCTAATGTTCTCATGTAATTTGCAACATGTTGCCCAAAGATGTGTTGCCGGTGAACATCAGCATTGAAAGATTTCGATTCGCTATTATATCCAGGGAACCTCTTGGTGCTATATGCACAGAAGAAAAAAAAAAAAGGTATTGCAAACTGTGTTTGAAGTTACACTTTGCATTGCTTTTGTAAATGATTTAAAATTATCAGCGACACGGTTTTTAATCTTTTTACGTCCATGCAAAGACAACATGTTGTAATTGTAGAACACAGATACAAAGTCATGCTATGCTATGACTCAGATGACGCGCATGTGTCATAAAATCATCATATTATTTAACATTAACAAGTATCAAAGATTCTGTAAAGCATTCTTTTTCAACGAAACTATTTTAACAAATACCTATGTGGAATGTTGAGGCCTCCATCAACAGCACCTTTCATTGCACCAAAGACTCTGGCACCTGTAGTTGTACGCATAAGACCAGTATCTAAATAACATCGAAATGCCCCAGGACCTTCATCTAGTCCTTCAACATTATATTCATCACCAGTTACTTCTTTTGTTCCAGCATACAAAGTATCTAGGCCTAATTTTTTCAGTAACTGTAGGAAAACATAAGACTGTTATTTCTGTCATATATCTAAGTTCAATCACGTTTAATATTATAAAGCTGTTGTTCAGAATCATATAATAGGGAACAATTGTTATCTCTTCAGTTATGCATCAAAGCGAGCTAGGTGTTTCATCATTAAATAAGTATCTAAGTATAAATAAAATACATAATTGTACAGTAAAAGAAATATGAAAATACTCACTCTTCGAGCTAAAAGAAGACCTGTACAATATGCAGAAGCATAATTTGTAAGACCAACCTTAACACCATACTTTGGAAGTTCGTGACTATATGCTGCACATACAATTCTATCTCCTTCAATTCTTGAATATGCAACCTATGTGTATATATTGTTTTAATAACTTAACAAGTAAAATATTTATATGCATTACCTAAATATATTTACCTGACAGGTGATATCTTTGTTTGATAGACGTACAATCAATCTATATTTCGGTGTATTATATTTATTCTTATCTTGAATGGTTAATCTTTTACGTGCAAAGTAATCTGTTTTCCCTTCCCGGCGCCTCTTAAACTTAACTTGATAACGTTTGAAATACTGCTTATTTTTAACAACTTTTACAAAACCCTAAAACACAATGCATAACTCATTAAATTGACTGACTAATTTTATATCCAAAATTTTCCCTTTAATTTTATACAAAATTCAACAATATAGTGAACAATATTCTTATTTTCCGTCGAAGTGAGCTAAGGTAATTGTAGTATAAAAGCTGATTTTATGATTACAGGATTCCGTTGAAACTTCAATCTACTTTAACACATCTTGTTAACATATTATATTTAATTTTGTTATAAGCGCAATTGTATAATATAAATTAGAAAGAACCTTTTTATAACTGTAGAAAATAACACATCTTGTTAACATATTGTATTTAGTTTTGTTATAAACGCAATTGTATAATATTATAAATTAGAAAGAATCTTTTTATAACTGTAGAAAATGTGATATTAATCGTTCTGAGGTAACAAGAAAAACAAGTTATATTATTAAAATGCTATTTCATAGCATACAGCTTCATGTTATAATTTAACATCGTTTTTCGAATCCCGTCAAATCCCGTGCATCTAACATTTTTAATGATATTAATTAATTTGTACAGATAATTGAAAATTCTATTTAGAGAATTATATTAATCTTAATGAAATTCCACTTACCATTTTATTGATAAATACAATAAAAGCCTTACCCGGAACACCACGTTTCACTGTTCCACGTACCAAAAAGGAAGGAAGTTTCTTCTTACGCTTAGTGCGCCCTCGTATTCGAAGTATGACCAACAATTCAGAAACTACATCTAGTTTATTTCACACAGTGACAAATTAATGGTTAGGGATTTGTTTTTTAATGTAAATAAAAATATCATATTAGAAATGGAGGCAAAAACAATTTTTCAATTTATAGTTTATTTGATCTATTCACCTGAAATAAAATAGAAGTGTAATAGTGGTAACAAAAATTTAAATTGAGCAGTTCAATAATTTAGGGAATTTTAATTATTATAATGAAATTTGGAAAATTTTCTTTTAATAGTATGTTACAGTAATGAATCGAAATATCATTTTTTTTAGTTGCAATATATATATATATAACAGTCTAAATTGTACTTTTATTAATACATGATATTTTCAATTATTACTCAATGCATTAAGTTAACAATTGAAAATGCTTCTTAAATATAGATAAAGTTTACGAATTTGTGTGTTGAGATACAGGTTTTCTTACATTTTTTTTCTTCTTTTTTTCAGTAACAAATTTTGAATTTGTTCGAGTTTTAAATATTATATCTAAAATACAACATGAGAGATTTTAAATGAAAAAATTAACAAATTTAAATTGAAACTTAACTTAAATGAACATATTCAAAGTGAAACTCTCTATTACTGAATTTAATTTGAAAATTTTTGTGAATTTTTATCAGTTTTATGGAGAAAAAAAAAACTTATCCAAACAGTAATTTATCAATTTCATCAAATATCATATATTTATCCGTTACGAAATATAACGCACTAAGGTATTTACACCATATAAATTACGAACGTCCATACATCTTTAAAAAACGTTCATATATTTGTACTGTATATCGAGATCGTAATTTAGGGGGGAATAGGTGCTTCTCATATTTTATTTGCAGATATTAAATAAACAATTTTAATTAATTTATTGTTTAAAAATACGAGAAATATGATAAAAGACATTAGACTTTTTCAGGTTTTTACTTCTTGAGTTTCTTCTGAACCCCAATCACTTAAATCCTCATCCCAACCATTATTTTCTTCAGATGTTTCTAATCCATTCAATATTTTTATGTCAAACAGACTTTTCGATAATGCTTGTGGTTGCTGTACATGCAAAATCTGTGTCTTCTTTATCACAGGCTCCATATCTGTGAAAAAGTCATACTCTTCCTTCTGAGAATCAGTTAACTTCGAATTTTTTATATCTAACTCTGAAATATCAGATAAAACAGCTGACTTTCTTATTAATTTTGATTCTGTCATTTTCATTTTTTCTATGTTTATTGCCGAATCTGTAGGAATTGTTAATGTTGAATCCGAAATTAAAATTTTATTAGAATAGGATGTTGTGTCAGAAGATCGCGAAATTCGAAAATGCATATCTCCAGTTTCTTGTACGTCCCAATCAGACCACGTATATTCTTCTTCTGTGATTGAAGAAACCATTTCCTTTTTATCTTCACCTCCATCTGGAGACGGTCTTTCAGGTAAATCAATGGTTTTTTCGATAGAATTTATAGGAACGGTAAATTGAACGATATTTGTACTATTGTTCATCTTCTCATTTTGCTTTATTTTATTTGGTCGCCCATCTGTGAACAACTTTCCTCTTTTTCCGCCAATCACAGTGGCTGCACCTAAGATTGGAACTACGTTGGCCAATGCTTTTAACGTTGCAGATACAAGATAATCGTTTGTGTCTTTAATTCCAACAAGTAATTCAGGAAGCACTTGAGATTTTAATTCATCTACTTGAAATGTATGGACAAATGAATTAAAATGGGATAAAAGTACTAAACGTATTGATATATCTCGTATGCAAAACATTTGTAATAGTTTAGGTACCAAGTAGACTTTAAATGTGGAAATTGAAAACAAGTTAATGTTTATATTGTCCTTTCCATCTGTAAATCAAATGTATAGTCTTAATTTATATTAAAGGTAAGACTTTATTAAAAATTGTTTACCTTTTGGTTCTAAAACAAATGGTAGAAGCTTTTCTTGTGCTGTTGCATCTAGTAAAACCATTCTTGAAAGTAATAACCGACCAAATTGCTCCGCAACAATATTTTCAGGAAAAGTTCTCAATTGTGTTATTAAGGATCTGTAATATGATCAAAAAATTTTAATACTTACCAGCATAAATACTCTCTATTAATAATTATTATTTATTTGCATTTATTAAAAATATTTACCCAAAAAATATTTCTTTTTCTTGGTTATTTTTTAAGGGTAACTCTTCCAAAAATGCATATATCCTCATGAAATCATGAGTAAAGAATGGATGTTGAAGTACATGGGATAATTTACTTCTTAAACATGGGTCTGGATTTTGCAAATTCTCCTTGCAAAACTGTTTAAATTCTAAGAAACTAGGAACGTCACCTAAAGTGGAATAAAATATTCAATAAAATTTTTGTTAATAATCTTGTCATACGCAATAAATGTTAGATTTATAATGTTTACCTGAATCCTTTAACTTTAATATATCTTCTGCTAAAATTCCAAACGCATATGCATCAATTGCTGTAAAATTTGTTGTGGTAATAATTGTATCTTCATTGGAAGATATTGCTTTCTCATATCTGTAGTTTCTTATTTTTTTTAAATAAGAAGTAGTTAATTCCTTAGATTTAGATAAGCATTCTAATCCACTAAGTTTCCAACATCCTTCTGGTGTAACATAGATAGAACTTTCACAAATATTGTTATGAGATGTGGATGCCTTCTCATGAAGAAAAACCAGTGCACGTAAAATATTATACAAGCCCATGCATATTTGCAATGTATTTTGAGTTTCTATTGACTGAATTAAAGGCTTAACTTGTTCAGTAGCAAGGAAAAACTTACTACCTCTTGACCATGAAGAAACATATTTCAATATACAAGGATGCCTATATAACATTAGATTCTAGAATATAAACGTATTATTTGTAAGAAATGTTGATTATTTAATTAATTAAAATAATATAATTAAAAAATTTTATTTTAAAACAACATTAATTTATAAACGTGCTTGTGCGATTCTATAATAGATGAGGTAATTAATAAATAAATGTTAACCTTTGTAGCTTTTTCTAAAGGTGATGGATTTCCGAAATTTGCACTATAATGCAAAGATGGTTCACTGACAAATACAGAAACTGTTTGAGCATTGTGACCATTTACGCGGGCCATATAATGTACCCAAAAATCTGTTATTTCTACAGCTTTCTCGTCGATTTGTAGCCCACTAAGGGCACTTTTTTCATTCCCCATTTATCTTATTAATATTTCGAGTAAAGAAATGTACGTCCAACGTTATGAACAACGTTCGAAAGGAACAATTAGATAATAAACATTTATTTTTCGTTATAAGGAACTGTTTGAAAGATTTATCACTTGCACTATGATCATTTAAAGTTCACACTATATTTATATCATATCACCATTATGAATTATGTTCAGCTATTAATGCTCTTTCTAAATATGTAATTGACAGTTAGACGATTTATTTCACTAGTTTTCTTTATCGTCTCATCAACAATACATGTACATGGATATCTATCTATTATATAGATATGCGATTTTAGCGCCATTAATCAATTTTGAATTAGGACTGACCGAAGTTTGTTTTAATACGACCATGAAAAGTACCAAATTAACCGTAAATTTTATATTTTTATTTGAAGGTTATGAGATTTATGAATTTTTATTTCTTTTTAAGAAGAGTAATAAATTGGAATTAATCGTATTGAAGGATACAGAAAAATCGACGAGCTTGTACTAAATACCACGAAATATCGTGATATATTTTAATAGAAATTCTGTTTATATTTATATATGTAAGTTAAATTGTTAAATAATAAATACTTTATAATTTAAACTTAGGTTCGAGGGTCCGTCATGTTATTACGTTACATTTTAAAGGTTTACAAAGAATAATGATTGCCGTACTATTTAATTTTGTTATTTTCATTCAATTTTAAATTAAATACATAATAATACATGTATACATATATACTATTAGAAATAATAATTATCGTTATCACATTCGTACGTCATCTCGTACATGACTGTTTACTCGTATTTTCAAATGAATATATAGTATATTAAAATTCTACATCAATTATAAATAATTGAGAATACTTGTAACTGAAACAGTATGTACTGTTTCTACTGTTAAAAGTATCGATATATTACAATTTCCTGGTAAACTGTTTATTATTACTATTTAATTACATTATAATCGACAGACCCTTGCGCCTGTATGTTTTTTGGTATTTGTTTTATATACATTTTTGGAAAAGATCAATTTGTATACAAGCGCCCATAGGTAAAGGGGTAAATGAATTGTATTTGCGTCCCTGATATATTTCAAGGTACTCTCATGTACCAATATCTGTGTTTCTCATTCATCTTACTTACTCACCGTTTGGTTTGTTTTTCATCTCCGTGTTGTCAGCTGTTGAATATTCACTTGGTTTAAGTATAACGACATTATTCGATCTATTATGAAAGTAAGGATGACAACGCTATTACTAATAACAACGCTGACAATAATGATAATCGATTAATTAAGAGCACATTAATGTATCACATCAATCGCGAGTATTGTAAAACTGGTATATCAAATTTGTAATGATAATTAGGACAATAGTGATGACAAGAACGAGGAGGAGTATAGCAATGACGATGACGACGACAACGACGATGAAGACGACGTCGATACAACAGCAATGACAATCATGATAATGTCGGCAACAATGACGACGATGGTAAAATTAAAAATGAAATGAAGTATAACTAATAAAATGAAATTAATATGAATATGATAAATAAAAGAAAAAAAGGTGGTATATAATGTAAGGTAATTAATATAAAAGTTGATGAAAAATAGATATAATAGTCATGGTATTATGAAATGCGAAACAATGTTATTGAGAAAATACTACTGTAGCAATAAATAATATGTTGCAATAAAAATAACATTAGCAGTAGCAAAAACAATAACTAGAGTGATAGTAGCGGTATTATAAATTAGTAATTTAATAATATTGGTACCGTTAGGTAATAATTGCAATGTTTCATGTTAATAACGCTGCTGTTACTACTATTACGATTCCATGCTACTGTTGTTCTACTGCTGCTACGACTATTACTACTAGTACTATTAAAAGAGCTACAATTACAAAGTACAATAAGAATATCAATGTATGAGATTATAAAAATGAAATGACAAAATAATACATCGCTAAAACTTATTATTTTTAATAAGCTATTACTTTTTTCCTAAAGTATCATACATTTGTAACGTTATTTGGAATTATTTGAAAAAATGCATATTCGTGTGGCAGTAAGTTAAAGGCACCATGTCTCGACTATATGTAAACTGTGTGCCTTCACATTGTAGTTAAGGCCATTAAATATTTTTGAAAGGACATTTATATGATATACCTGAAAGTAATTAAAAGATATCGCTTAAATAGTTGGCAGACACGCTTTAAAGCGATTGAAGTTGTTATTAATTTGCATTATCTTCTCATCCTTCCTACATTATTGCGGTAAAATATCGCATTAAGACAATAATTAGAATGCAAGGATAACAATCGATAATAGGATTGGCAGTAGGTACATTAATTTTTTGCAGTTTTCCCGTAAGTTTAATACAATTCTACAAAGCTTGTTTTAAATGAGTACTCGTTGTCCTAAGAAAGTTAGTAAAATTAACTCTTGTAAATACTACTATTTATTTTTCATTGGTTTCATTTTTATAATAGTATTAATAGTAGTAATAATCATAGTAACGGTATGATGATGGTGACGCTGATCATGACAATAATGACGATGAGGATGAGGATGACGATGACAATGATAATAATAACAATGACAGCGTCGACGGTGACTGCCATAGTAATTGTAGTAATAATCTTGGTAATGATTCTGTGCAGTAATAATGGTAATGATGGTGGTTGTGGTAATAAGTAATAATAGCAGCAGCGGCAGTAGTAACAACGACGGCGATGATGATAATATATTATATGTTGCAGTATAGTAATACAATAGAAACAATGACGATGGTAATGATGAAGATAGTACTACGAATAAAATAAAATAAAATAGAATAGAATTAAAATAGAATGATAATAATAATAATAATTATAATAATCGTAATAATGCGTGGAACCGCAACAAAAGCAGAGAATATACAATTCATTTTCTACGACATGTACGTTGCGACAGACAGTGGCTGCGTCCTAGCGGAATAATTACTACACACGAAAAAATCGAGCGCGTTTCGTTTTTCTGCAAGCGACACTCCTTGTATTATTACATCCCTAATCACTGATACTCTTTTTGAGAGTGGCTAGGTCATGATAATATATTCAGTACTATAAACAATTGTTGCACTATTTATTTTTCACAAGCTTCGTCATGACCTCACAGTATATGAATAAACGATTAATGTACACGAACTTTTTTTTGCTTGTCACATTGTATTAGGGACAACGTCATGCAGATCTATACGACCATCGCATGTATATTTTTGTTTTTTGCAATTTCGATATACACAACAGTCTTCTTTATCGAGTTCTGTTTTTTTCTTTTTTCTTCTCCATTGTAACGGTGCTTTACAAATTGTAGCAACGGTCGTGCAATATCTTTGTCGAACTACGTTTCACGAAAATCTGACTTTTACAGTAACGTATACCACAGACCGCCGTCGTGTCCACATACAGAAACATAATTCTTGTGCAGATTCCTTATCTTCGTAGTCGATAATGTAATTAATTGGTTAGGGTAATCGATCGACATCGAATGAGAATGAGTTGTGCGCGTCACAGTTCTACAATCATTCGACCTCTTTTTTTTTCTCGTACTGAATAATGTGTTATAGTCCCCTAGCAGTTGTTGAGAGAAATGATCCACAGGGATTTGTTCAAAGGTAAAACCATCTTCGATGCGATATCGATATATAGATTAAAATTAGTTTCTTTCGGGCATTTGTTCTACAGTATTTCTCGGCACTTATCGCCGTTTTACGATTCGCAATATTTCCTCGAACACGCAAAAGGGAATGTTCGACAAAAGCGATTTGTTTGTTGAGAATTCATGAAACGCAACGTTCGTGATTGTTAATTCGGAGAAGCATTACCGTGTATAACAATAATACCATCTGTATCTTTTCTTTTCTTCAATGCACCTCGATTAAATTATTCTAACTAGACTGATGGCCAAGTTATTAATTATGAATTCTAAGCTCGCAAGCCGCTTTAAATCGACAAATACAATATCGATCGGAGTACAATTTACTCCATGCGTATGACAAGTTATCATTATCATTTACCTTTCGATCAACGTGGTACCATTATGTATGATCGTAAGTTATTTTTTTTTCTTTTTCTTTTCTTTCAAATGATAGAGAACGAATGTTCTTTTTCACAATTCACTCGTTTTGTTGATTCACTTCTTCCTTATTGTCATTGTCTTGGGAATTTACGTTTGCTTTAGCGCCTCCTTGTTGAGCACTTGAGCTACCATCGTTTATTTTATCATTGTGTGAATCTGTTTTTTCATTCGTGTCCATTTTGACGTTTCCTGGAAAAGGTGAATGAAGAATGTAGAAAACAGAAAGTATGGAAATCGTATTATTTAACTGTATTCACTGATTTAAATCGTTCGTATTAATTGGAGGGGGGCAAGGAGCACGAACCTTGCGTAGAGTAATATTGTTGTTGCATCTTCATGTTGCGTTGTTGTTGTTGCTGCTGCTGATGCAGATTTGGTCTGTGACGGTTAATTTGAGCTTGTTGTTGTTGTTGCTGCTGCGACGGTATGCAATTAGGTTGTTGCTGCTGCTGCTGCTGCTGCTGCTGCGTAGGATTGTTCGGATTGGGGACTGGTGTAAATGGAACGACTGGTCTTTGAATGGGCGGCGGATATCGTTGTTGCGACGGTTGAATACCAGCGCGTGGTGGCATACCCATGCTACGTACATTTTGTTGTAAAACCTGTAATAATTTGGCTACTGCTAATCCTTCCCTCTGTAACCAAGTACTCTGAGCATCACTCTTCTATCGATCGTCCTTCAGTGATATTAGTTAGCCAGTATTGTCAAGTTTACTAGAAACTTTTAATCCTTTTTTTTCTATTCCTTTTTATTATTCCTCTCGATTTCTATTATATCTCTAATTTATTGAATTACCAGGTGAAAAGCATTTGTAAATGTTATGCTGAGATCAAGTGTAAACGCAAAAACAGATCGTTTTGTATGCTTGATAATTCAAGCGTAACACAGTGATATGTAGGACAATTACTTACCAGAGTCGACTGATTAACGCCTTGATACTGCTGATATTTGTGATGTTGCGTTGGACTAGGCTGCGGTTGTTGAGATGAAGACTGCTGCTTACAGTTTCTCGATTTAGGGGATGGTATTTGCGGTGCTGAGAAAAATATTTGATATAGTGATGTAATGATAGAATGTTAATGGACGATATAAACATAATATTCGTTAAAAAAGTAATTAGACTCACTAGAACTGAAAACTGATGCAAGGACATCTTGTTGATTTCCTGATGGACTCTTTAATTGCCTAGGTTGTTCCTGTGGTTGATGTTTGCTAAGAAAAGTGGGACCTGCGTTTGCTGGTCCAGGAAGTCCTCCTGTGGGATTGCGAAATTGCTGAGCTGCAGCCGCAGCGATCTGTAAACCGGAACTAGATAAAAAGCCTGAGCTGAAGTTTTGAAGTCCAACGGGAGTAGCGCTGCCAGTTGCCAGACTTTGGCTGTGCTGGCCAAATCCTTGCAATCCATAATGAGTACCGGTCTGTTGGGTGGCACCCCCCGGTTGATAAAAACCTGTTTGCGATCCGGGAAATACGTCTGGAACAGAAGTAAAGATCGAAGAACGGGGAATGAAAATATAGCAATGATGGTATGTTGTATCATGGTGGAAGAGTTAGTCACGCCTCTTTACACTCGACATCACCATCTCTATCTCCACTTACCAGCCGAAGTTGCGCTATAATAACTATTGGCCGAGGCTTGTACGTTCGGACCAGGTCTCTGCACCAATTGGGAATTGCCCATGTAACTGCCACTCACGCCGAGTACTTGATTCGGATCATATGGTATGTACGTTAACTAAAAAAAAAAAAAAAAAGAAAAAAAAAGAGGAGAAAAAGACATACGTATCTTGGAAATAATTTTACAAATAAGTTCGTGCAGGAAACGGAGTAAGTGTTAACTACACATCGCTGAACAGAACTAAGACGTACTGGATTTGGTTGAGGAGCAGACGGTGCTTGAAAATGTGGACCCTTGGTTCCAATAGCGCCAATAGGTTGGGAGGATGGCTTCACGCTGGCCGACATTAAAGAATTTGACGAAGAACTAATAAGAACCGTATTTGGATTGTTACTGAGCTGTTGGTTTTGCCCGAACGGTGGAGCAGCAGCTGCAGTCTGCGAAAAAAGAACGTTCTTCTATCATGTATTTACATCATGATGCCAATGTAGACTAATTTCAGCATAATGTCAGTCGCTGTTTCTTTTTCTGCTTCAGAATGATTACTTACGATGCGGTATTGTGACAGATTGCTTTGATACATATCTGGTGTGGGTGCATTCGGTGCATGTGGCGGAGGTGGTTGTTGTAAGTAAACGTTTTGTTGGCTAAATGAATTTTGAAGAGACGGCGCATACGGCGGATACTGCGTGAAAGGAGAACGGCTCTGATCTAGCTGAAATGCTCCATAAAGACCCCCTGCTTGGGCTGGAAGTTGACCAGAACCAGTGTTAAATAACACGGCCGGTGGAGAAGGTATGGCAGACATGCTCCCGTATTGAGCAGCTTGCGAACCAGGGTATTGAGGGAATTCCTGGAAAAAAGAAAAAATACAAATACATTTTAAATACGCCACTGAAGCACAGGAATGGACATATCAATTGATAAATGAAATGGGGAGAGAAAGAGAGAGAGAGAGAGACTGCACCTGATAATTGATATGAGAGGGTTGGCCGGTAGAGTTGAACGGTGGCGGGCTCAATGGTCCTTGAAGACTGACGGGAGGATGTCCGATAGGACTTTGACCTGCTCCGATAGGACTTGGTCCTGGAACGGTCGAACCAGACTGGCCACTGCTGCTTCCCGAAGACTGTTGCTGCGGCTTCACCTGCGGGGGAACCAGCTGCGCATCAGGCAAAGAGTCAGCATCTTCCCACAGGGGACATGGTGTTTCGTTATTTTTAGTTTTCTATTTACATCACTATCAACTGCCATTCTAATCGATGCTGACCGAACGCGAATTTTGGGAAACGATTTTCTCTCCTTTCTTTCTATTCTTCTTCTGAATTCTGGTGAAAATAGTTAGGTTCATCGCTAACCGCGTCAAGCTAGGTCAAGTAGTACGTGGATCAGTAATAGAAAGACTTTATTGGAAAGAGAAGAACAAGGACGATATAAAAGCAACAAATGATAAAAGCGATGATATTATATGGATGATAGATGTGTCGATCTATTATTAACAATAACATGCCTCAAATTTGGCTTCAATTAATATATTTATATATATATATATATATAAACTTATATGAAGTAAATCTTACAATTTAATTTCGACCTAAATTTTTGATTATTTATATAATCCATATATATATATATATATATATAAAAAAAAAAAGACCAAAAAAACAAAGGATAAAGGAAGATGTATCACAACAAGGATGATAATGATGACGACGACGATGGTGATGACGATGAACGATAATGATGATGATGTAGGGACAATGACGATAGTTATTGTAACGTATTAATAATAAAATAATAGTAACGAGGGTACTATTGTGGTCAAGTACTAATGCTTATACTTGGAAAATTTGTATAGAAAAAACAATAGGTTTTCTAGACGACGAAACGGAACCAATTGAAACGATGCGTGTTAGCCACTTACCTTTCTGATTTTCACCATGGTAACTATTTAAGGGAATTTTCAAATACGAACGAGGAACGTTAAAATCAGAGGAAACAACAGAATGGACAAACTGGAAGAAATGCATTTTACTCGAATTTATGCTGAATATCGAGTCAATTTCTAGTGATGTAATAGTTCAAGATTATGCATGCATGATAACATGATATAATGTTCGCGAAATGATTTCTCACCTTGCACACGTTCGTAGAAGTAGTTATTTCATTTTTCATGTTATTTTGATTGTACTGTTGATGAGGGCTGTAACTATCATCAACGTCTGTACTTTCAAACGCTTGAGGAAAAGTATTAGCGGTACTGACGACATTGCCATCCTCGTGCTCGACCACGGTTGGCATAGGAGGTGCGTTTTCCCATACTTTCTTTACCGATGCAATCTTTAAATTAAGTTCTGCTGTAGAGGGTGAAATGGTATTCTGACCGGTAGCCATGTGCATTGATCGGTTCATTCCCAAGCTTTTGCTCTTGTCTTCGGTCAATTGTGAGAGATCCGAATCGAATGTGAAGTCCAATTTCATATCTGCGTTATCTTCGTTTTTATTAAATGAAAGCGGCATCTGAATTGGTTCTTGATTCTTATCTTTTATCAAATCATTTGGTTTATTTGAGAATGCCACAGGAAGACTCTGCTGCTGCTGCTGCTGCTGCTGCTGCTGCTGTTGTTGTTGTTGCATTACGGTTGCTGTATTACCTTCTTCTTCCAAATCGGCGCGTTTTTCAACGCGTTGCTGTTGAGCTTTGATGTGGTTCGGAAATTTAGTCTTTACTGCTAAATCAGAAGGGCCAGCCTTGGTAGTTTTCGAATAATTTGTATTCTCGAAAATTAATGTTTGCACAGGCGGTGAAGAAACATCGGAGACTGAGGTTTTTTCTACCAGCTGATCTTTCAAACTTTTGCCACTACCTTTTTCGCCGTTCGGTGAATTTCGTTGGCTACTGCTGCCAGAATTTGTTTGCTCGTTACCTTCGTGACAATGAACGTGACCGTGACCATGATCATTTTGCGAAGATAAACCGGGCATCAACTGAATGTCAGTGGGAACGGCCGACGGAGAATTGGATCGCAACTGACTCGTTGTAAACGGTTTATCCCAAGCGTTCACCGATGGTGGAGGCGCAGGACCGTTCGACGAATCCTTACCGTAATTGTTTGAATTGTTGATTTTGTTCAAGTCGCTTGGTTCAGATGTACACATTTGCTGCTGCTGCTGCTGCTGTTGTTGTTGCTGCTGCTGTTTCGCTAAACGTTGTTTTTGGAATCTAGGAGCAAGCTGCTTATTATTTCTAGGAGTTCTATCGAACGATTTTTGCAACATATTTGCAGGTTGTGGAATGGCTTGACCAAGCAAAGGAGGTATATTTTGAACTTGTTGCTGCAAAGAAACCGTTTGTTGCGAACCACCGTTTGCTTTCGATTTGGAACGGTCACGCTCTCGGTCCCTCTCTTTCTCTTTTTCGCGCTTTACCGGTTTCGTTTCTTCCTTCTGCCCATGTCTAGATTCCTTTACGTTTTTCTTCGAACGAACCTCCTGAAAACCATCCGAATCGACTTTATCTTCGATAACATTGGATCCATCCTCCGCGCAATTGTTCGTTTCCACTTCGCAGTCGATCGTCGCCTTTTTTTCTTTTCCCTGGGACTTTTTGTTGATGTCATTAATAGCTTGACTAACTAAATTAGGATCGCTGAGCTTTATTTCATCCAAACGATTCACCGTACTATCCTTTGTACTTAATTTACTTAAAGCTACTGAATTATTTCCAGCAGTTTGATTTCTTGATCTTCCATTTTGTACTTGAGCCGTTTGTATTAACGGCGGAATGCTACTAGAATGACTTTTCTGATTGGCAAAACCCGAATTTTGCAGATTTCGTTTTTCCGCGCCTGGAGCACGGGACGCAGTATTGGAAGACTTTACGTTTTTCTCACGCTGCTCACGGCTGCTTCCCATTTGTTCGCTTCTACGTGAATGTACGTTCGATACCACGCTAGTTTGATTGCTACCCGTGCTTGCACGCGAAGAAAATTGTTTATTACGACTGTTACGAGATTCTTTATGGTCCTCCACGTGTTCTTCGCTGTTCTCAGACGTGGTTTCCCAATCTTCGTTTCCTACGTCTGAAGACGTCTGCTTCGATACATTGCTACCGTTGCCACGGTAACGCAACTCACGACTGTCTCTACCCTGAAAACATAGATCGATTTTACGCATAAATCGTCAATTATTTTGTTAAATAGCATTTAAATCGTATTAAAGAAGGAAGGAAAGAAGGGAGGGAGAGAGGGAGGAAAGAAGCCATTGGCCTTTTACACTATGCTTAAGACGACACTTACCCTTCTACTTCCACTGCCAGTTCTTTTTGAACGTGATTCTTCTTTTCTCGTTACTTGTACTTTTTGAGAGAGACCGCTGTTGCTCGTATGACCAGCATCTTGTTTGTTACAAGATTGCTGCGTCTGCTGAGACTGTTGCAGTTGTTGATTTGGTGATTTGGCACGTTTTCCAGTTATTCCGGCGGTAAGTGCTTGTTGCTTCGCTATAATTTTATCATCGGTAGATTCGATTTGCGAGATTACGAGAGAATTTATCTCCTTCTCCGGAGTAGGTGTTGGAGGATTTTGTCGCGCAGCATTTTGTTTCTCGTCGATACTGCGTTCAGAGGAGAAAGGACTTTTATTGGATGGCGGTCCATATCCTTCCATGCGACTGCCGGTAGTGGTTGCGCTTCGCATTCGGTAACCGCCCCGACCACGACGAGACGGTTCTCCCGAAGGAGCAAAACCTTCGCCGCGGCTCGCTTTACTATCGTAACTTCGTTTCTCACTGCGCTGTGATTGAGAATAGTCGGCTCGTTTTTCATCTCGACCAGCAGACACCACCACTTCACGATTGCGTTCTTCCTTCTCTTGCTTCTGATGTGTCGGCTTCGGCGATCTGGCCGATTTTTTTTCTTCCTTGCCAGATTCGGTAGAACCGGACACCTCGTCGGCACTATTTTCCGAATCGGTATGTCCGTAGGAACCACTTCTAGCTGAAGCTGGTCTAACGGCGGCTCTAGACCCACCCCTTCGACCCCTCGATTCTGGACCGCGCCAACCTCGAGTGTACACGCTATAAGTGCCACCCCATTGGCGTCCACCCCGCGAATCGCGAACCCGTGAGTTCGATCCACCGCTACTCGTTCTGTTCCGGATATTTTTCTCCCGTTTGTCTTCCTTCATCTGTTGTTGTTCTGCCGTAACATCCTCATTCACAGCCTCTTCTCTTTTCTCTAGATTTAACTTATCGAAACTCTGTTTCAAGTTCTCCGTGTCTTTATCGCTCTTAATAGGTTCCACTGCTTTCTCTTCTTCTTTCTCGAACGTCGGCGAAACAGCATCTGCCCACGCTTTCGGAGAATTATCACCTCTTTCGATTACTCGATTGCTTTCATTAATCCGTTCGACCTTTCTGCCCCAAACATCCGCTGTTTCTTTCTTCGTCTCTGTCGAAGGTTCTTTCGTCTGATCCTTTTTATCTTGATTCGAACTCGCCCGTTTTAATTGAGTAAGGTTACGTTTTTCACCTTTCAATTCATCTGCCTCGATCCTTTCTTTAGTTACAGGCCCAAGTGGCTGTCTTCTCTCCCGCTCCCTTTCTCTCTCTTTTTCTCTGATGTCTTCGTGATACGTATCACGTTTGCTTTCTTCGTAATCGGCAACTTCGTTCACCCAAGAACTGCAGTCCCGCAATTTGTGTGAATCGTCATCACGTAACGATGTCTTTGATTCCCGAGAAGTGCGGCTATCGCGAGAATCTGGTCTTTGTGGACGTTCGTTGCGTTCCATCCGTTCTTCTCTTTGCGTATCTCGACGATTATCGATCATTCTATCTTGAATGATACGCTCTGCACGCCACTCCGTACTCTCCGATCTTTCTCTTTGATCACGCTCACGCTCACGCTCACGTTCACGCTCACGTTCACGCTCACGCTCACGTTCACGTTCTCGCTCACGTTCTCGCTCACGTTCACGATCGCGATCGCGATCGCGATCACGTTCGCGTTCACGATCACGCTCGCGTTCACGGTCTCGATCACGATCACGATCACGATCGTCAAAGGTATCCTCCTATAGATGAACATAAGTTTTGAGTTCAAATGCCCAGACGAGAAAACACTATTATTCTAATGATAACATGTGAACAAAATTGGTGATAAAAGAATATTAAATACCTTCAAATAGTTATCATAGTCCTTCTTATCCTTGTTATCTCTTTCTCGAGGTTCTCTTGCATCTCGATTGTCCCTATTCATACGATTATCACGAATATCTCGAGTTTCTCTAATATCTCTTGATTCTATACTGTCCTTTGAATCTCGATCCTTATTATCGTCGAAATATCTCTCGCGCTCCCAGGAATCACGAGAATGTCTATCATCGTACTCGTGATCTCTGGAGTTGCGGCCATATTCATCATAGTAACCGGCTGTTTTGCGTGTCTCATATGGTCGATGCGAGGAATGACGATATCGATCGTCTCGAAGTAGAGAACCACGGTAATCACGGGATGGAGGTCGATCATCGTCCATTGAAGTGGAGATATCTGAATCTGTTCTACTCCGACGTTGCGAGGGAGCCCCGTGTGTTGACTTCAAATTGCTGTCTACTAATGCAAGTCTCATTGAATACAATAGGAGTATAACCACCCGACAAGAGAATGTGAAAGATAAAAAGGAAAAATGTAAAAGTGACGAAAACGATTGTTTATAATTTCCAAAACTGGAAATACTAATTGCAAGTTTCTTGACGCATATTGCAAATATATAGAAATATGCATGTATACATGCATCAAAACCGTAGGCATAGAATGTAAAAAGTACAAGAAACCGCATCTGAATGAACGCTCAATTTTGGTAGAACCGAAAAATTGGAAAATACATTTAACTAGGTGTATCATACTTCCAAGTGAAACTTACTTAAAGAACTGTGACTATGAACCCATCTACCAGGATCGTATTGCTGGGAGAATGGAACAGGTTGGGTAGATGATCTTTCGGTACTGGGAGAAATTCGATTAAAGCCAGCACTGCTTCTTTCCGCTTGTTGTTTTTGGAATCGTGGTGGTAAATTGTTTTGAAAGTGTCGAGAGAACGAGGCGTGTAGTTCGCGATCCCTTGTATCTCTTTGATCACGATCGCGATCTCGTTCTCGCTCACGCTCACGCTCACGTTCTCGTTCTCTTTCACGCTCGTTGCGAACGCTATCTTGTCTCGTAAAACCTTGTCGGTCGCCTTGCCGGAAATCTGACATTAGCTGGTCACGGGAATCTCTACAATCTTTTGGACCGTCCCTAGTTTCGCGCGATTCGCGGTTCAACGATTTTTCATCTTTTCCTTCAGACCGTTCACGTTCTCTGGTTTCTCGTTCTCTATTTTCCCTTTCTCGTTCCCATTCGGGAACCGGAATCGGCACCGGTGGTACGCTTATCAAGCCTTTCGATTCACTAGCTTGTTTTTCTTTCAATTTTTGTTCTAAATCTTGCAATTTCTTAGCTGCCGCTTGTCTAGTTAATTCCTGATATCGTTTTTCTTCCTCCTCTTTGCGTTGTCGAGCGCGCTCAACGGCAGACGCGACCTCGACAACTTTCAGTCTGCGTCTCTCGGTCCACGTTTCGTCATCTTCTACCCCTGTTTTTAAAATGAAAACGATAAATATAAACAAATATGTGAGATGTTACGCATTAAACGTAACCATTTATTCATATAAATGGAAATGAATTTTAGATCTATAGGTGCGCCAAAGTCACATAAATATTCTGACCTCTCAAAGAATGCACCGAATGCAGTTGTGACTGACCGCTATAACTACCAGACCCGTTGGACCCACGATAATCGCGGGGCAAAGAACTCTGAGTCCATGGACGATGAGTTGGCTGATCCCGAGATTCTTTTGATTCTCGATTATCGTGAGAATCACGATTATCGCGGTTTTCTCTAATCTTCTCCCTATCTTCTATTGTAATTTCTTCAGTTTTTTCCTCCTTATTGTCCCTTTTTTCATCTTTTTTCGATGGTTCAAGATCAGGTTCGTCGTCACTGAAGGCGAGTTTCTGATTATAATCAATGTCATCGTGCGCCGCCCAGCCAGCATCGCGAGAAATATCGTCCATTCGAGTAAGATCTTCTTCTTTAATTATTGGCCGTGTAATAATTTCTTCCTCGGGCATGCGTTCGCGTTCCTGTTGACGAGCAACTGGAGGAGGGAATCGTTCTGAGTAATTGAACCGGGGTCTAGGCCCACCGGAATTTGTGTTTGTTGGAAACTGTGGTGGGAATCCACCAGAAAAGTTTCCTCTATACATCTAAACGTATTGAAAAGGAAAGTTAATTCGTTATATCTAAATAATACATCCATTTACACGAAACAGCAACAAAAAGAGCAACGAAACTTACGAATGGCGGAATAAGTCCTCTATAGTGATTTAGATTTGGACCAACTTGATGAGAACTAGAATTCAAAGCGTTTTGACTGCTTGAAGTATTATGAGGGCCTCCCTGGCCCATGCCCATGTTGGGAGACTGGACCAAGTTCTGTCGTCCGCCACCAGATATGTCGGTATGTCCGCCTGATCCAGTGATATTTAAAGGGGGGGCCTGGACCCCTGAATTCCCACTTACGGGACCAGCAACCCCTATTCCTGGACCACTGGCTGTGCGACTTCCACCTTGTATCCAACTTCCTTCCGCTAATGCATAATTTCATTTAACGTACTAAATCTTTCTAATACCCAACTTGTCGATATTAACGTACATTAGAACAATATGCAGCGCATATGAACACGATGTAACTGTTCAATAAATTATAATGAAACGTTTACTGTGATATATTTACTTTGAGGTCGTAAACTTGGTCCGGGTCCGTATTGCGCATTTAATTCCCGATTTGTTGTCTGTTGTTGTTGTTGTTGTTGTTGTTGTTGCGATTGTTGCTGGCCTCCTGATACAGCGCCTAAATGCGTCGGTAAATCGGAAAACGTATATAACGATGTATACTAATTATTATTACTACAGTTTTATATTATTTCTCAATATCGATACAATTACAAATAATTTGTACATTAAAATTAAATTACATAGGTATAACACATTTTTACGTTTTTAATGTAACATTACGCACCATCTCCAGATCTGCTCATTATTGCACTCCATGATGATTTGTTGTTTGCATCGGAAGAATATGATGTTGGAGAAGTATTTTGTTGTCCTGGCAGTAATGGATGCAGTGATGTTGTCGCGACAGTTCCCGCTACACATTGTGCCGTTGAAGAATTTGACTAGCAACAAAATATTTTTTTTTTTTTTGTAAGCACATAAATCTAAATGAAATGAAGGAGCAAAATGCAAAAGAAGGAAGAATATTTTATCAAATTCATAGAAAATACGTAAGTATAAGGTAATTATTTTCACTGCTTTCAGAGGTAAAACATGGATGGCACTAGAAAATGTAAACTATGAATATACATGTTTTTATCAAATTTACAGTAGATGTATCCGATGCAGTTACAGCTGTAGTGGTTGTAGCAGTAGTGGTAGTCGTTGATTCTTTGGTGGTAGCCCAACCACTTCCTCCGCTTGGTACAAGACTGACAGCTGGATCGTTGCTGCTATGTTCACTTTTTAAACTAGGCAGATTAGCAGGAGGTCGTCGTGCCGAAGGCACTTTCCCAAGACTTTGCATTCCATGTTTGCGTGGTAATGTATTTTTTTGCTGATGCTGCTCTAAAGATTCTCCCTGTACACAAAGCAAATCAGATACCAATTCCATTTTCTTTTATGTAAATAATCGTTTCTTTTTACCAATATTCTTAATTTTAAGGACAATTATCTATTAACTCACTGTGAAAATATAAATTACTAAAATTGGAAGGTTAAATGCATTGAAGAAAGGGAAAGGAATAGAACAGAAGGGAGGGGATGGAAAGAGGAGAGGGGAAAGAGAGAGAGAGAGAGAGAGAGAGAGAAATAGCACCTATGTGAAAAGAGAGAAAAAAAAAAGGAAAACAAAACTGTTTGGCCAACTCACCCTATTCAGCGGGTACAAGCTATTGATGTCTAATGATTGGAACTTGGATTTTCCTTTCTCCCCCTTCGACACGAGCCCTGACAGAGTAGACATGCTGTCTGCAGGCAACCATTTAGTACCAATCAGACCCAAAGAACGAACCCTTTGTCTGAAATTATAGTTCATATTTTACATACCTTTTGTTTTTCTATGCAATAAATTCTTACACCAGAATTCAATAAAATAAAACTAATAGTTGTGTAAAAGCATATTTAAAGTAATTGTTCCATTAAAATTGTCCACATATGTTTAAACACAACCGTTGAAAACTGATAAAAAAAAAGACATAGAGGGGAGAAAAAAAACATTTTTTTTTAAAGAAAAGTTTC